ATCAAAATTTTGATCGCGTGACCATGAGGATGCTGCAATGGTCTCTAAGTGTGAAAATGGTCACTAAGTGTGAAAAAAGGTGATCAGTCACTTTTTTCAATGCCATTGTAACTTTGGTCACTAAGCCCATTATACCACCTTTCTTGCTTTTATTTATGTTTGTGAATGAAATCAACATATTTCTTCGTATCAGCTGGTTACAACTTTGAAGGACCTCAGCCCCCTGATCAGAATCTTCAGTGCATGCTTGCCAAGTTCACTCTCACATGGGTCATTAGCGTTGCAGCTAATTTTTGAGATGTCAGACCCTAGACTGAACGTTGGCTGCTCCTCTTCTCAAAGAGCTAATGAAGTGACACTAGACTCTAGAAAAGTGTGGGGTTTTTTTCCCCTTTCACTTTGATCTAGCCTAAAAAGAGACGATTTATTATAGTGGTCTCTTTCAGTCCTAAAAGCAGGTAATGATAAACCATTTCTGAAGTTTTGCCAAGAAAACTGCAGGGACTCATCCTGGCAGTTGCCAGAAGTCAAGATTCGATGATACAAAAAAAAAAGTGTTGGAACTTCTGCTGTGCCTGTGGGCAAGGGGGTTTCTGAGCTTGCACAGAGCGTCAGACGGCTGCAAACGGATTAAAGGCTGCCGAAAAGACCTATCATCTTCACAACGCAGCACAGGACCAACAGGTTCTCACAAATCCGGATGCGTTTTTGACTCCAGGCAGTAGAGAGCGCCCGTTAGTAAGCAGCCTATTCGCCGCCCCCACTTCCCCGCTTTTTTCGGTTCCTCCCCAAGAAGGCGGAGCGCTGTGAGAAGCTTCAGTTGAGACTGAGAAAAATCGGCGGGAGCCGCTGCTGGACCACCCGCCGGCGCCTGGGCCTTTCCGGAGCGAGCGGCAGACGAGGTGAACTTCAGGCAAGGACAGTTCCGAAGGACTGGTGGCTGCAGCCCAAAGGAGGCTCATTGCTGAATAGGACTAGTCCGGTACAAGCGCGCGCCTAGAAAGACCGTTTCTTCTTTCCTCCCCCTCCCCTCTGCCGCCCCCCCGGAGGGGGAAGGGTTAAAAATGGACCCGAACCGGCAAGCACAGGGGCCGGGGTGAATGGAACTCTCTTGCGTATCTCGCAGGGCTTGGAGAAGGCTGGCGGAAGGGTTGGGGTGGGCGAGGTTGGGCGTAGAGTTGTCCTTTTAAATCCATGTTCGCCTCAGATAGTCGGGTGCTTATGGAAACGCTGTGCGTGGTCGGCTTTCGCCAAAGCTCCTCGGAGGCCGCAGGTTTTGTTGTACTTCGGTTGCCTAACAACGCCTCCCGGCTCCTTAAAGCGGCAGGGCTGGCGGAAACTTCAAGTTGCTTGTTTGCGCTTCTCTCTCAGCTGCGAGCGGCTGACTTAGTTCTGGGTGGTTTTCTCCGGATTTAGAAGATATTTCGGATATCCGTAGCTTAAGGTTATCTTTGTGTGTGTGGCTCTTTGCTGCTTGGAATCCTGTCCTAGCGATTTACATCAGGAAGCTCTAAAAGATTTAACCATAAGATGCCACCAGAATGAAACCAATCAGGTGTAAAAATACAAGTTAATGCAAAGGGGAAAAAGTGCAAACATAATAGTGATTTATTATCCAAATGTTCTCTTTCGCGGTAATTCATTCTTCATTTCCGGAAGGCTAACAGTGAGTTTGTTAACCCACCCTTGAAAGGGAAATAGTCTCATAATATGGCAGCTGCAATTGGAAATATTGTTTGCTGGTCTCTCTCCCTTTCATCTCATGGTCCTGTGAATTCATCAAAACTTTTTGAAGGAATAGTTGTACTTTTGTACTTAGAGAAGTTGAATAGGCCACTTTTATGTGATTGAGCCATCGGTTTAAAGAAGGAAAATAACACACGAAGATGGTTTGTGAAGTGAGGGAAGTTGTTGATGAAGCAAACCTCTATTCATTATCTTTGGGAAATTCTGGAAAATGGATAAAATATGAGAGTATGTTACTAAAGAAAGAAAAATATTACCTTTAGGAAGCTACATACCATTCAGCAATCCATTGCTTGAAAGACTATAGAGGAGACCACCCATTAATCTACAAATTTACTAAAAACAGTGAAATATTAGAAATCCTTAGGAGTTTGTTAAAAATGCATCATAATAAACTAATTTTACTTCATGTTTTGATTAGATGTCTTCTGTAAATATAAGGGTTGTCTCAAAGTGTGCAGTAGTGTGATCTTATAAAATAATACATCTGTTTTATGAATAAAACTAAAAAAATAAAACTATTGTGATTGGCAGATAGCTCTGACTGAAATTAGACCTCTCTAAGCCTAGCATCTCTTAAAATTTGTTTTGTGCCTTACTCCATATTTTATATGAACAGACCCACAGTAGTTGTGTCCAGACAGCATGAACAAGTTTTAAAGCACTCCTACTTTGTTTGCACAAACTTGATCAGCATTTTTTTTCAATTGCAATTCTTCTAAATTACTTGTGACCTCTGGAGATTGCAACCCACAATTTGAGAACCCCAGCCTTGGTAGCATCAAAGGTACTTTTTTTAAAGAGGCAACTGGACTTTCTGGTTTTTCTTTGAAGACATTTCGCTTCTCATCCAAGAAGCTTTTGACTAGATGTTGGGGAATAGAAGGATTTATACTCCTTGCAGATAGCTGATCATTTGCATTCTTTTAGCCGGTCATTAAGGTGGACATTTATCTGTGTCACCAGGGTCACCTGAGTGGTGCAAATTGGTGTGGAGTGTTTGAAAGGACTGTGTTGTAGATTGGAAATAGATGATATTGTATCCCTCCCCCGCTGTTGAGAGAGGGCTGTTCAATTCTGACAAAAAATGGCCTTTTTAATCCCTCTTTCAAACCAGCAATCCTCTCTGTCCAAGAGGGTTAAAGAGGGCTTTAAGGGGTTTCTTTCAAATTACTATGGGATTTAAAAAACCAAACAGTCTGTATATTGATTAAGCAAATTTAGGCAACTAATAAAATAGTGTTTCTTTTATTTATCCATTAGGTACTATATTCAGTTAGATTATCATTTCCAGAAGTAAATAATGATGGCTGAGAACCTAGACAAGTTTCTTGAAGACCACAAAGCCAGGTTGTTACAGGACAAGGCAAAACTTGAAAATGATCCCCCATACATGGAAATGCAGGTAAGATTTTATTGTAAAATCCTGTTCCTTTAATTCTGATTCTGTAGTTCAGGTTAAAAGCTCTTAGCTATCTTTCTGTCCAAATAATCATATAAATTGTGGTTTGCTATTTAATCCATATTAGACCATTATACCTATAAACTAAACAGAGGAAAGGAACAATATATAATATACATATTCCTCTTTTCTATACAGTTAGCTGAATACATCTTCTTGTGATTCAAAATGAATTCAAAAGCTTACATTGTTAATGTATTTGGGGCGGGGGAGAACCCTGATATATCAAGAAAACAGGAGTATCTTGCTCGATTAGATCAATCTTCTTTCAAAAGTATGAGAATGACTGAACTTGTTTTCGCCACTTCTCCATTAGCCCTAGCTATCAAGCCAAAACTTGGAAAAGGGGGGTGGGGGTGGAATGCAGAATCACCAGAAATCTAGTTCTGTGGTTTTTATGCTTTTTCTTACTCCAAGTAGCATTTTTTATACCTTTTGCATGCATTTATTAGTTGTACCTTATCATTTTTTCTTTTTCAGAATAAAAGTGCAGAGAAACTTTCAAAGGCTAGTGAATTATTAATCTCCATGGCTAAAGAAAACATCCCACCGAATAGTCAACATATTGATTTGCATGGTATTATTTTTTTCTAATGGTTATTGTGTTGCAGTCAGTGGGAAATGATTAAATTGATCTAGGGTTAAATTACTCCTAGTATCCTTGTTATGTTATCATAGGTTCAAAATATATTAAGCTAAGTTTTTAAATATGATGTGGTGATAAGCCAGAATGGCCTGTCATACTTCGTGCTTAATGGATAGCCTTGCAGTGCAGGATGGTTAATGCTTTTTTTTGAGGGAAGATGTAATGTCACTTGGTTTAAAATAAGGCCACTATGCAGCCTGTTCCAATCTTATCAAGCAGGTTGTTCCAGTCTGTAGTCATTGTAGGAAGAGCAGTTGATTCAATATGAGACTGCAGGACTTGTTTATCCCTCTCATGTTAATTAATGCCTGTCTGCAACTGCTGGTCATTTATTTTTTGGAGTAAAATATCCTTAGTATACTGATGATGTTTAGCCATATATTGCCACTTCAGGTCAGAGGTTTAACGGATTGAATGTTCAGATTAGGCTGTAGCAACATGGAAGTGCTGGTAGTTTGTAAACATCTTGACAGAAATATCGGTTTCAGTGGCTGCTCTGAGATGAAGATACAGTCCACCAAAAGAGCAGGTCTATGTCATGACTTACAGCTCCACCTGGAATAGCAATGGAAACTATAGCAAGAGAGGCTTGGCAATGGTAACTCAGACTTGATCATCATGCAACAAAACTGCACATGGCATTGCTTTAAAAATAATCCAGAGGCTGCATTTAATTCTGAACGTATTAACTAGACTGTTATCAGAGAAAACCTGCTCTTTTGGGGGTCACTGCACTGGATTTCCATTTATAAATTAGCATGCTTATTATTACCTAGAAAGCCCTATAAAGTATTTCTACGTTTTATCAGGAAGGTATTAACATGACTTATTAACATGATCCTGCTTGTCCTATAGGGACACCTAGAAATTTACATTTTATTCAAAATTTCTGGGTTTAAGCAGAATATGAATTTTATAAAACAAATAAAAGATAAATAAAAAATAACCCTAGGATATACTGTGATGTATAAACTGTGGCTTTAATATTATGAGAGCTGGGCAAGTCCTTTTAAAGTGATGATTTAGAACTGCAGGTGTGCCAGTTAAACATCTTTGTTTGAATTAATTCAAGCAGTTCAATTTTCCAGGTTTATTTGCTATTTTGGGGGCCATTTCTGTATGTGCATAACTACTTCGTTTTACCATATTATTTTGGGTACTTCAATTTTTGTCTATATATGTTCCAGGTTCTTTTTCAACCTGGGCTTAGTGATAGACATTATCTTAGAGGGTTAGTTGTTACTTAGCAACGGCAGTTCCCCTCACGTGTGCCTTTCCTCTGTTTAAATTTAATTTTCTGCTATTTCATTTAGCTGCCATTCGTGATTAATAATTTTTTTTGTGAATGACATTTCAAATTATTACAGGAATTATTTTGGAAACCTGTACTAAATTAATTACAAAGTAAATATGGAAAATACATTTTTAGAATTAATGTTAAATTAATATTAAAGTAAACTGTGGCTTTAAATTTTGAATTTGTTCATCTTTCAGAAAGAATGTAATTTTGAAATTGGGGTAGAAAGTAGGTGAGGAAAAAATATCCAAGCTCTTTTGTAAAAAGAAGTGCTACCATAATTGTATGTTAATCTTAAATTAACAACTACTACTACTCAAAATGCAGGCTGATTTCAGTGTACAGTATGCTTAGTAATGAATTTTATATTGTGTTTTCTGACAAATCAGTAATGCACTTTAGGTACATAGAACCTACATACATTTTCTTTGAGTTCTTTAGATAGAAGGAAAGGTGTAGCTGCTGTTTGTCTAAAGCTAGGCTTAGAAAATGGTCTAATACAGATAGTCCTCAACTTATGACCATAATTGACCCTATAATTTCTGTTGCTGAGTAAGAAATTTGTTAAGTGAATTTTGCTCCATTTTACAACTTTTCTTGCCACAGTTGTTAGGTGAATCATTGCTGTTGTTAAGCTAGTAACATGGTTGCTGCGTGAATCTGGCTTCCCCATTGACTTTGCTTGTCATAAAGTCGCAAACAGTGATTTCATGACCCTGGGATGCTGCAACTATCATAAACCTGAGTTAGTTACCAAGTGTTTGAATTTTGATCATATGACCATGAGGTTTCTGCAATGGTTATAAAGCGTGAAAAAATAGTGTGCCATTTTTCAGTGCCGTTGTAATTTCGAACAACCACTAAATGAACTGTTGTAACTGAAGGACTGCCTGTAGTTGGTACTTAGACTCATAACGTATATACATGCTCCATGTAGCAAACAATTATGTCAATGTCAGTATTCAATGGCATGGATTGTGGAATTTTCTGTTCATATTGACATTCTTGGATTCATTAAGTATGCCTATTTACAAATTATTCTTTCTCTCAATTTCATCTGATGAAATGATAAAATGCCTGGCTATCTTGCAGAATGTTAAAGCAAAAATCAATCAATACATATTTCAGAAATTAAAAGTTCTAGATAACTAATTTCTCTCCAAAGTTTGTTTCATGAATAAAAAAACATCTAGGAAAGTAGGCTACTGAAAAGGCATAAAAATTGCTGCCAGGTCAAAATAATTGCATACGATGTTTTTGCACATGGATTAAAATCAAGTAACAAGTTGTCCCAAAGTTCTTTCTCTTTTATCTACCTTGTCTTTTCCAATTTAATAAACCTCAATTGTTACAAGTGAGAAGAATATTTATTATTATATTATATTATTATATTATATTATATTATATTACATTACATTACATTACATTACATTACTATATTATATTATATTATATTTATATAATTAATATAACAGTGACAAAAAATTAAATGGAAGAGGCTGGATTGTTTAATAAACTGGTGGTTGGAAAAAGAGCTTAATTTTTCCTCTAATACAACTTTTTTGCACTGCCATTTCTCTTCATTCAGCCCTTTCTCTTTGCCAAAAAATGTGTACATTCTTACATTTTAGCATACTGAAACAAAGTTCATATGGAATATCCATCCTTTCATACAGTATTTATGATAAAACTTCTGTTTGGTGTTAAATTAAGATCAGAATAATTCTCATGTACTTCTTCTCCTTAAAAAACTTTGATAATTTAAAGAATCAGGAAGAATACATTTATGAATTGTTCTCTTTTCTATACCAAAAGATCACAAATACACACTTACTTTTGCAATTTACCATTGTTGAACATGTGTATGCTTAAAAGTATTTGGTGGTGTCAGTACTCTGGCAGTGGTAAAAATGACATCACTAGAAGTGACCTAAAATAACAATTAAGTGTAGTTTACCCTCAGAGGCCTCCTGGGAAAACACCATGACAGCACCAAAAAGAGTATGTGTTCCATATTTGGATTTTGATTTGTAAATGTGTTGATCTTAGAAGGTAAAAATCACCTTGTTCAGACAAACTAGCTGTTACGAGCTTGATAAATTTGGAAATTTCATAAATAAGGATAATTTAGTGATTATTTTCTCTGGTAGCTTTAGTATTTAAAAAGTACATATCAATGGAAGTTCCCATTTTGCGTAGTTGTAGCTACTGCTGTACCTGCATACTGTAAACCTCTTTTTTTTCTGTTCAAAAGTTTTATTTCTTTTAAAACAAACATTTCATCATTCCTCAATCAGTAAGACATCGAAGTACAATTTTTTATATGTCAAAATAATTCTAGTTTACCACCAAATTCTTGTCTAACCTTCTCTTCTCTTTTATTCTTTTCTTTCCTCCCTCTTTCCTTCCTTCCTTGCTTTCCTTCCTTATTTCCCTTTCATTTTTCTTCTTTCCTTTCCTTTCCTTTCATTCTTTTCTTTTCTCCTTCTTCCCTTCCCTTCCTTCCTTCCCTTTCATTTTTCTTCTTTCCTTCTTTCCTTCTCTCCTCTTTTATTCTTTTCTTTCCTCCATCTTTCCTTTCCCTTCCTTCCCTTTCATCTTTCTTCTTTCCTTCTCTCCTCTTTTATTCTTTTCTTTCCTCCCTCTTCCCTTCCTTCCTTCCCTTTCATCTTTCTTCTTTCCTTCTCTCCTCTTTTATTCTTTTCTTTTCTCCCTCTTCCCTTCCTTCCTTCCCTT